TAAAATGTGATCTGGGTATAATTATTTTTACAAAGTACCCCTGAGGTTGCCAGTGTGCCAAACATCTTGGGAATCATTGATGGAGATGGAGTGACTTGAAGATTAGAGTGAGGAGGTTCAGGGCCAGTTAAAGTGTACTATGCTTTTACATAATCATTTCTACCATTTATAATTGCAGGTCTGCATTACTAGTCTACATGGAAGAAATGGGGTGATAGATGATAGTATCCTTTTCACCTTGGATTCTCTGAAACTTCCTGATGGATACATACCTCAAAGATACGATATTGTCAATGTGGTCATGGTCGAGAGCATTCAATCCTGCTATATTTGGAAAGCAGTTTCTATTACCCCAGTGTAAAGGTTGTAATAATAAAACACTTATTCTTGGTTCATCTTCTCTTCTGTGGGCAGTAAAGGGCCTAGTTTAATTGAAAAGCTTAGCTTAGTAAACCTAACAATATTTTACACATGACTTTTCTGGTAAATTTAATTAAGATACTGGCTAGTTCACTTGGACCATGAAGCCACTTTAGTGAAGTGCCTTATCAATGATAAAGTGTGCTAAAGCTGGCAAGTGACTGTAGGTAGGGAATTGTTGGAAACGACACAACAATTAACCCTAATTCCTTGTTTTCTATTACCAGGAGTGCATTATAGGATGGCAGAGGCCTGGGGCAGCCCTGAAGGCACCATCAGAGGCAAAGATTTAACTGAAGAAGCAGCAGAGCCAATGTGTTAAAAGCATGATTTAAAGTTACAATGTGACTTCAATTCTGAGTCCCCCTTACACTGTTTTTATTTTTCCATATCCTTTTTTATCTTATATTTACCTATATAATTTGTTATGCCAGGACTTACTTGGGTTTGTTTTTCTCCTTAATGCATCACAAAGCACTTAGAAAAGTGCCTGGCATATATTAAGGGCAGATTAAATGTTGTTAAATTCAATAAATGGGTGATCTGGCCAACAATAATGCTTAAGTGTGGGTAATTCATGACTTATTTTCTAGGAATAAAATTGTTGAGCAATCCATTAAGATTTCACTTGATAGCTTACCAAGCACGTCTCCAGATCTGGTACACATAAGCGTGAAAGTGGCCGAAGATCTACTTTTGGGAGAAGTGCAGTCCAACTCCATACATGAATTAGGGGGCAAATCAGAGCCCTCTGAAGGAAGGGGAAGCTACTTACCCATGGGCTACGATGGTACTAAAATCCTACAAATACACCTGATGAAACGTTTTCCTTTCTTCCTCAAACAGAGACTTAGCCAGATAACTGCAACCTAGGGGAAGGGATATATTCAGATCTTCAGGCATCACTGGAAAGTGTCTGTGAGCTCCCTTCCAGTCCTGGGGTTTATAATTCTCCCATAATCTCCTGCTCAGTGAACAAAGTTTGGTTCTGAAATTGCTTTGCAAGTCTACTTAGACCTTTCAAGCATCCAGTGGTTAGTTTTCCATTTTACAGGAACATAGTAGGTGTGAATATCCTGTAGATTTTAGGCTTTCACTGTGACAGTTCCAGGTCCCTGTGAAAGTCATCATTCAAAAGCAGCCCCATAAGCTGTGGGAATTACAGAGACGGCTGCCTTTGGACTTGAGAGATGCATGGGTCATGAGTTCTACCATCTCCTCATTTAATTCTCCGCTTTGGTTGATGTAGAAGAATGTTCTTTGAGAGTAACAGTGAATTATGGTAAGCCTAGTCAGGTGGTGATTCAATCACAGCTAGTGTTTCACAGACATCCTCACCAAAATGAGTGAATTACTTCTGCACCTGGGGTGCAGTGGTTGCACAGGTGAATAATTTTCCTTCATCCTTTAAATAGCAAAGTCCAGAATCCATTTGCTTTTCTAGGGCTGGTCCAGCAGTACTACACTTTGAATATTTGCTTCCTGGAAATGTCAACCTTGAGGCTTGTTGCCATAATTTCAAATGCAGGGTTCTTAATCACCTCACCCTCAGTTAAACAACATACTGGTCTTCCTAAATGGTGCAGGAATCGCAGGAGCAGGAAAGTCGTAGGATGAGTTAAAAGTGTATTTACTACAAGTGAGAAAGAAATGCCATGAAAATACAGGAACCCTTCAATTCTGTCAATATCTGCTTCATATATTTTGATGGTCTGTTATTAGGTATGTAAATGTGTATATAATTGTCATATCTTCTTGCTGTACTGAACCATTTATTTATATATAATAGTTTTGTCTCTTGAATTCTTTTTTGATTTAAAGTCTATTTTGTGTGATATTAGCATAATCACTCCTGCTCTCTTTTGTTTACTATTTGCATGTCATATAGTTTTCCATCCTTTCACTTTCAATCCATTTGTGTCTTTGGATCCAAAATGAGTCTCTTTTAGAAAGTAGACACACACACACACACACACACATATATACATATTTTATGCATCTGTATATATATATATATTCACACACATATATATTTTATATATATATATATATATATATATATATATATATATATACACATATAGTTTTCAACTTTTATTTTAGGTTCAAGGTATTGTGTTCAGGTATTTTACATGAGTAAATTGTGTGTCACAGGGGTTTGATGCACAGCTAATTTTGTCACCGAGGTAATCAGGATAACTCCTCATAGGTAGATTTTGATCATCACCCTGCTCCCATTATCTATCCTCAAATAAGCCCCAATGTCTATCATTCCCTTCTCTGCGTCCAGGTGTACTCAATGTTTAGCACTCGCTTATAAATGAGAACATGCAGTATTTGGTTTTCTGTTCCTGTATTAATTCGCTTAGGATAATGGCCTCCAGATCCATCCACGTTGCTTCAAAGGGCAATGATGCCATTCTTTTTACAGCTGTGTAGTATTCCATGGTGCCAATGTACCACATTTTCTTTATCCAGTCTACCATTGATGGGCATTTAGGTTGATTCCATGTCTTTGCTATGGTGAATAGTGCTGGAGTGAACATACCCATACACGTGTCTTTACGGTACAATGATTTATATTCCTTTGGGTACATAGCCAGTAATGGGATTGCTGGATCAAATGGCAGTTCTATTTTAAGTTCTTTGAGAAATCTTCAGCCTGCTTTCCACAGTGGCTGAACTAATTTATATTCCCATCAGCAGTATATAAGCATTCCCTTCATTCTGCATCCTCACCAGCATCTGTTTTTATTTTATTATTTTATTTTATTTTATTTTATTTTATTGATACAGTGTCTCACTCTGTCACCAGGCTGGAGTGCAGTGGCATGATCTCGGCTCACTGCAATCTCTGCCTCCTGGGTTCAAGCGATTCTCCTGCCTCAGTCTCCCAAGTAGCTGGTATACAGGTGTGCACCACCACGCCCAGCTAATTTTTGTATTTTTAGTAGAGACGAGGTTTCACCATGTTGACCAGGACGGTCTTGATCTCTTGACCTTGTGATCCGCCTGCCTCGGTCTCCCAAAGTGCTGGGATTACAGACCCGCGCCACTGTGCCCAGCCCAGCATCTGTTATTTTTTGACTTTGTGATAATAGTCATTCTGACTGGTGTGACGTGGTATCTCACTGTGTTTTTAATTTGCATTTCCTTAATGATTAATAATATTGAGCATTTTTTGTATGCTTCTTTACCACTCATATGTCTTATTTGGAGAAATGTCTGTGTCCTTTGCCCATTTTTCATAAGGTTGTTTGGCTTTTGCTTGTTGATTTGTTTGAGTTCCTTATAGATTCTGGATATTGCATCTTTTCAGATACATAGTTTGCAAATATTTTCTCCCATTATGTACGTTGTCTGTTTACTCTGTTGATAGTAGAAAGAATATATTTGGATCATGTGTTTTTATCCAGCTTACTTATCTCTGCCTTTTGAATGGAGAGCATAATCAATTTACATTTCAAGTAATTAAGAATAAGGAAAGACTTCTGACATTTTGACACTCGTTTTTACTATTCTTTATAGTTTTTGGGGGGACCTCATTGCTTGCATTACTATCTTCTTTTGTGCTGATTCTTTTGTAGTGAGCAGTTTTAATTCTTTTCTTATTTCCTTTTGTACATATAGTAAAGTTACTTTCTTTGTGCTTACCATGGGGAATACATTTAACATCCTAAAGTTATAACACTGTAATTTGAATTTATACCAGTTTAACCTCAATAACATATAAAAACTCTGTGTATTTGCAACTTTGTTTTCACTCCTTTTAGTTGTTAATATGACACTTACATCCTTACACATTGTATTCCCGAGAACATAAACTAAGAATTCTTTTAAATTCATTCATTTCTTAAAGTTAAGTAGGAAACAAAGTTTGGAGTTACAAACCAAAGTTACAATGATACAAGCTTTTAGACTTTTAGACTACTAATTTAAAAAATGTATTAGTCTCTTATTAAGTCATGCACAATTCAAAAAGTAGAGTTACAAATTGTTGCAATAATGCTATATTTTATAATTGCCCATGTACTTATTGAGTTGTGTTTTTTGTTTGTTTTTAGAAAAGGAAGTCTTCTTGTTACAGAAAACAGTTCTGAACAGTTAACACTGTAAAAAGGTGTAAAAATACAGGACAAGGACTCTGAACTCTCTGAGGAATTTCCTGACACACACACACTCTGAACTAAGGCGGAGAGATCTCTGGAAGTCTGGGCCTCTGACTCTTGCCCTGAGACTGGTCCCCCTCCTCTTTCCCACGAGCCCATGCTCCAGGGCTGACCAGAGACAAGCTCTCCCCAACACTGGCTACAGCTCAGCCTCTCAAGGAGGACCTTGTATCATCTACAGCAGCTCATCCTGGAAGAGGGGGGCTGACCTCAGGTGGGGCCCGCAGGCGATGCTGGAAAGCCTCTCCAGGCCTGGAGCTGGAGTACCCCTCCTCAGTACTGCCAGCAGGTTTCCTCTTCATCCCACCCCAGCTCGAGGCCCCCAAGGGACGGGGCTCTGGGTGGGCTGTCCAAGAGGAGGGCCCTCCTCTGTCCCGGGTACAGGGCCACTCACCAGTTGTCAGTAGGGGCTCATTTCTCTGGGGGGCCAAAGGGTGAGGAGAAGGATGCTGAGCAACTTCGAAGCTCCTGCTGCAACTGTCCTTTCAGTGTGGACACCGGCTCCTCCAGCCCGTGTACCCTCTGGTGGTGGCCAGCTCTTGTGCCTCTAGGGTGTGTTCAGCCTGTGCCTGGGCACTGCACAAGCCTCCACCTCCTGCTGCAGCTCCAGCTGCTGCTGTGCTTCCACCTCAAGCTGGGCTGGGCTGTGGCTCTGCTCCAGCGCCACCACCTGTGCCTCCAGCTGCTGGATCTGCCTCTGGGCCTTGGCCAGCTTTAGCTCAGCCCCCATGAGGGTCCAGTCCAGGCTGCCCTTCTCTGAGCTCAGGGGCACTGTGTCCTCATGGCTGCAAAGCTTCTCTCACTCCACCTTGTCTAGTGTCCTCCTGAGGGCCACGAGGTCCTTCTTCAGCTGCAGGGCTGAGCGTTCCACCTCCTGCTTCTTGGCTTCCAGCTGAGCCAGGGTGAACTACAGGCTGCCCAGGCGTTCCTGCAGCAGCCTCTGCTTGTCCTGCAGCTTCTGGACTGTGTGCAGGGCTGCAGCCTTGCCCTCCTGCCACTGCCACAGCACCTTCTGAAAGTGTTGTAGCTGGCCCTCCGGCTCTGCCCGCTGCAGCTTCAGGTCAGCCACCTTGCCTGGAAACGTCTGCACCTGCTCACCCAGGGAGCTGCTCTGCTTCCGTGCCTCCGACAGTGCCTGCCCGACAGCGTCCAGCCATTTCTGGAGCACTTGGGCGCTCATGTTCACAGGCAGTCAGAGCCTTCTGTAGATGCAGGTTCTCGTCCTGGGTGCTGTTGAGGCTGGTGCTGCTCTGGGCCAGGGCCTCTGTCAGGCCCAACACCTTGACCTGCCAGGCCCCCTTGCTTTCCTCCACCTGTGCCAGGGCCCGGTTCAGCCGCTCCGCTGTCAGCTGCAGGGTCCCTGCGCTCACCTCGCTGTCTGCTACCTGTCTCTGCATGGAGGCCACCCGATCCTGGAGGGCGTGGGCCCGGGCCTCGCGGTTTCTCAAGACCAGGCAGCTGCGCTGCAGTTCCCCCTCAAGCTAGGGCCGCTGCAGCTCCAGCTTGACGGTGCGGCTCTCGGAGGCGTCCAGCACCTCCTTCAGGCACAGCTTGTCGCCCTCCAGCTTCGTCTCCTTGGCCTTCGTCTTGGTAATCTTTTCTTGGCTGGCCCGGAGCTCGCTCTTGGTGGCTGCAGGCTTCTCTCCAGTGTGGCCACCTGGTCCAGCGTGGCGTGGTGCTCCAGCTCACTGCACCGCACACTCCTCCTGCAGCACCAACTCCGCCTGGACTCTGCTCAGCAGCCCATCCACACTGCGCCGGGCTTCCTCACTCTCAGCCACTGCCTTCTCTAGCTGCCTGGCTCTCGAGGTTGCGGTGTCCCTCTCGGCCTCCATCTTGGCCAGCTGGCGATTTAGGGTACTACTGTTCTGGATCTGCAGTTTGTCCGGTTCTCTCTGGGCACTCCGCAGCTACTGGAAGAATTCTCGGAGGGCCCCGAGCACTGCCTCTGGGACCAGGTGTGGAGGATTCCGGGAGGTGGTAGGTCCTGCAGATGGTGGCCAGGACCCAGGGCTGCATTCTAAGGTGCTGGAGCTGCTGAGCCCTTCCCCACTTCCTCAGGCGGGGCGCGTCCCAAGCTGGGGAGCCGGGCATTGGTCGCGGGGCTGGGTTGGGCGTGAGATCAAGGCCGAGGCCCCAGCACAGAGCCAGCCGAGCGCAGGCCACCCAGTTAGGCCTCTACCGCATGCCACTGCACCTCCACGTGGGCCAGCTCAGCCTCCAGGCCTTGTGCCTAGTCCTCAGCCACGCTCAGTCGCAGGCCCTGCTCTGCAGCCTGGGCCCGCGCCGACTCCACCTTCAGCTCCAGGCCGCAGGTGTGGTCTAGCTGCTGTTTTTCTGTGGTGCGCGCACCTCCTCCAGGGAGCCCAGCAGGCCTGGCTCACGGGACCGGAAATCACCTTCTTGCTCCTGCAGCTTCCACTGGAGTACCTGGAGCTTCTCCTGCATCGCCTCCAGGCTGGCTTCGCCCTGCAGAAGCCTCTGCGGGAGGCCCAGGGTCTCCTGTCGGCTCTCCTTCTCTGCCCACTGGCCCAGCACCAGGCGGCTCTGCAGCTCCGCCTGCTCCCGGCACAGCCTGGTGTTCTCACTGTCCAGCATCTTCATCTGATGCCAGAGCTCCTGCAGCTCCCACTGAGCCTCCAGCTGTGAACACTGCACCTCCTGCAGCCCAGTCCGCAGCTCCCAGGCCTCCTTGCCCAGTGCTGCTTGTGCCTCCTCTCAGAGTGCCAGCTTCTGCTCCTTGTCCTCATTGGCAAACTTTAGGCTGATGCGCTCTTTCTCTGCCTGCTTCACTGCGAATCTCAGCTATTCATTGGAGCACCGCAGAGCCTCACGCTTGTTGGTGCCCTAACCAGGCTGCGCCACAGCTTGCCCCACTCCTGGCACTGTACCTCGCGGCCCTCCTGGTTCTCACGCAGCTTGTGGTGGCCCTCCAGAATCTCCTGCCGAAGCCCATCACGGGCATCCTCCAGCAGGCACAGCTGGGTCTGAAGCTCTTCTGCCTCACGAAGACAGGAGTCCGGCTGCTTGCCCAGGTCTCACCTGCTCTTGCAGCCTCCTCACCTCCTGGGCGTGGGTCACAGCAGCCTCCTTCAGATGGGCCAGTACGTCCAGCATCTCAGACATCCGAGCTCTCACGGTGCTCTGGTCCTACTCCTGCCGGCTCTGGGCATCTGGTTTCTGCCACTCCATATCCAGAGGACGGTGGCCAGACTGTGTCCTGTATCCATCAACTTCTCTGACAGCACCGCCTTCTCACTCCTTCAGAGACAAGGCCTGCTGCTTCTTGCTCTAGGTCAGGTCGAGGCCCTCGTCATGCTCCTGCTGCGGGACAGCGATCTTCTCGCTCACCTCTTCCTTCTCAGCCTCCAGCCAGGACAACAGCTCCTCCTGTTGGCGCTGCAGGTGACTCTGCAGCTGGGCCCGCTGGGCCTCCAGCTCCCGCCATGCTGCCTCCTTTTCACGCTGCAAGTCCTCCGTGTGGGCTGCCCGCTGCTCCCGCAGAGGAGCCTGGGCCTCCTGCTCAGCCTGCACCAGCTTCTGGGCCATCAGCTCCTTGTCTAGACTGACTTTCTCCTGTGTAGCTATTATTTGCTGCCACAGACCCGCCAGCTCCACAGTCAGGGTCCCCTTGGCCAGCAGCGGGGCCTGCCCATCGGCTTCCAGCTGCTCCCGGCAGGCCTCAAGCTGAGCCAGGTGCCTTTGCACCTCAAACAGGCTGCCCTCCAGGGCTTCTTTCTCCAAGCGCAGTCCTGTGGCCTTCTCTGACACGGTCCTGCCTTCATGCTCCATGGCCGCCAGTTTCATGGCCGGGCCAGTAAGCTCCTTGGCTAGCATCTCCTTCTCCCAGGCCGCTCGCTCCAGCGCCTCCGCCTGCCGCTGTGCCTACCGCCGGGCTTGCTCCAGCTCCTGCTCCCGCAGGCTTAGCTGCCGGGAGAGCTGGGGTAGCTGCTCCTGCAGCCGGCTAAGCTTATGACGCAGCGTGGGGAACTGTTGTTCCAGAGCTTCGTGGACCTGCTCCGACACTCGTAGGGCGCCCTCCAGGACCTGTCCCTCCACCTCCTGCTCCAACCGCAGCTCCTTCAGCAGCCTCCTGCTCTTCCTGCGCCACTGTGGCCTCCTGCTCCGCCTGCCGCTGCCGGCCCTGCAGGGCTGCCTTTTCTTCCTCCAGCTGGGTGACAAGGCTGTTCAGATCCAATTTGTCCCGGGTGAGGCTCTCATTGAGGGCGCTCAGCTTGGACAGGGAGTCCTGCAGGGAGGCCTCCTCTGCCCCCAGCTTGATCATGGAGAGCTCGAGCTCCAGGCGGCCAGCCTCAGCCTTGGTCAGCGCCTCAGCCACCTCGTCCTTCTCGGCCTGCAGTGTGTCTCGCTGCAGAGTGGCGCAGCTCAGCGCCTCCCTCACCCCAACCAGCTCCTTGGCCAGGCCTCAGCGCTTCTCTTCCAGCTGCTCTAGCTGTTTATAGTGCGCTCAAGCTCCTGGTGCACCCTTGTAGCATACTGCATCGTGCGCTCCTGCTCTTCCTCCAGCCGGTCCAACACCACAGCTCTTCCTGGGCAGCCTGCAGCTTCTCCCACTCCTGCCGCAGTTCCTCGGACTGCTGCTGGGCCACCTGCAGGCTGTGGACCAGGGTGCTCTTCTCCCCGCTCAGGAGCTAATTGGCGCTTCGCAGCCGCTGTACCTTGCACTGGGTGTCCTCGTGGGCCTGCATGGCACCATTGGTCTTGTCCCACAGGTGGTGCAGCTGTTCCTCTAGGGCCCGCCACTCACCCTCACTGTCGCTAAGCTGTTTCCCCAGGGTGGCCAGCAGGTCCTGGCTTGTCTCATAGCACCTGCACGTGTCCTGGACCTGCAGTTGGCCCTTGTGCGGGGCGGAATGGATCAGGGCGAGCAAGGCGGATTTTGACCTGGCCAGAGACGGGCCTCAGCGGGACTAATGGCCACAGCCCAGCGAGGAGCGCTGCGATGGGGATGGGATCTGCTATCCGGAGAGCTTCTGCAGGCTGCCTTCCAACGCATCCGCTGTGCGCTTGCAGTCGCTCAGCCGGACTCCGCTCTCAGTGTCTAACAGGACCGTCTGTGCCAGGTCCCTCAGGGTCTTCTGCAGCCCTTCTCCGTCCTCTGTCTCGAGGGCCACCTGCTTCTGTCGCCGCAGGGATTCCAGGGCCTCAGGCTTCTTGGTGAGGGCCTTGTTAACCTGATCCTTCTCCAGATTCTGCTTCTGAAGAGGCTCCACTGCCAGGGCCAGCTCTGTCACTCTGGCACTGAGGTTGTCCTTGTCCAGATCACTTTGTATCTGCTGCTGGTCTAACTCCTTCTTGCAGAGCACCCTGTCCCTCAGCTGCTCCTCCAGCTGGGCCTGCAGCAGGGCCTGCTTCTCCAAGGTGGCTTTGGGCCAGCTCTCCGCCGGCCGCAGGTTGGTGCTCAGTAGCAGGCCCGCCTACTGGACAGGGCATGATAGCCCAGCCAGCCCCCTTTCTAGCTGCAGCAGGTCTCTCTCAGTGGACATCTTCACCTTGCTGACCAGCCACCGGATCCCCACCACTGGCTTCAGAGGAGTAGCACGCGACTGTGCTCGTTGCAAAAGTAAGCATTGGAGGACTCCTCCTTGAGCCTCCATGCCGCCTCCCGCTGCTCCAGCTCCTTGTGGCTGCATGTGTCCAATCACTGGTCACCTTTCATATGTCCTCACAGAGCCTGGTTGGCTGAGCCTGCCTGATCCAGCTGCTGTCAGAGCACGGCATTCACCTGGGCTAGGCTAGCACTCCTCTGCTGCTCCTCTTCCAGCCAGATGAGGGCTCTCTCCAGGTATTGGCTGTGCTCTGTGCCCCTCAGCGGCTGCTGCTCCAGCTCTCTGGACCTCTCCAGCAGCTGCTGCTCCAGCTCCTTGCATCTCTTCTTGTACTGGAGAATCTTGGCCTGCAGCCGCTGCACAAGCTGGGCCTGTCGCTGTTGGCCCTCCTGGTAGGCCTGCAGCTTGTGCCTGTAAGAGGCCTGCTCCTCCTGCAGCTGCCTCCACAACTCCATGCTCTGCCCTACCAGTCCCCTGGGCTCCTGGGTCTCCAGCTCCCCAGGCTCCAGCACATTGTACATAATGGAAGGCTCATCGTTTGGCTCTGCTTTGGGCCAGCAGGTCCTCCATGTGGGACAGCTCCTGCTGATGTATCAGCTGGTTCTCCTCCTGCAGAGACAGCAATGGTGTCATCTCTGTGGCCTGCAGTGGGACTGGGATCTCAGGCCGGGAGAGGTTGCGGGTGATGATCTACCTAATGCGGGCAGGCAGGCTGACCGGCTCAATGTCCTGGGCCAGGTCCCACGTGACCAAGCACTTCTCTTGGCACAAGACTTTGCTATCCAGTGTCTGGATAACTGTTTCCAGTGTCAGCTGGGCCTCCTGTGTCCCTGCCAGCCCAAAACTAATGCGGCGGTGGGGTGGCTGTGGGCACCCCTCCAGCCCCCTTCTCCAGGACCCCAAGACTAGCTTAGTCAGCACGCCCCACAGCCAAGCTACTGTGTTGAGCACCAGGCAGATTAAACTTAAATCCAGTGGTGTGCCCATGTGACCACAGCGATGGGAGGAGCAGGATGGGGGCTGAGCGGGGAGGGGATGGGGACAGGAGAGGAGGGAAGCAGAGGCAGGGGGTAGCTGAGGGAAGAAGAAGGAAGAGGAAGGATGAAGGTGAGGGGAGGAGAAGGTAGAGAAAGGGAGGGAGGAGAGAGTAGAGGGGATGATGAGGAAAGGAGTGGAGGGAATTTTTATTTCTTCATACAGCTTTGAGTTCCTATCTAGTATCCTTTCATTTCACTTTGCAGAAATCTCTTGAGCAGTTCTTGCAGGTCAGGTGTAGTGCTAACAAACTATTAGCTTTTATTTATCTGGGAATATCTTAATTTCTCCCTCACTTTTGAGGAATAGTGTTGCCAGATATAGCATTCTTGGTCAACATATTTTTAGTGCTTTGAATATATCAGCCCACAGCCTCTGGCATCTAAAGTTTCCAAAAAGAAATTAACTGACAGTTTCATTGAGGATGACTCGTATGTGATGAGTCATTTTTCTCTTGCTGTTTTCAAAATTTTTCTGTCTTTGTCTATTGAAAGTTGCATAATAAGGTGCCCTAGTTTGGGTATCTTTCAATTCATCTTACTTGGCATTCATTGAGATTCTTGGAGGTTTATATTCATGTCTTTCATCACATTTGGCAAGTTTTTAGCCATTATTTCTTCAGATATTTTATTTGCCCCTTTCTCTATCTCTTTTCCTTTTTGGACTTCCCCTAGGCATATCCTGATTGGCTTGGTGGTGTCCACAGGTCCCTGAGGATCTGTTCATCCTTCTTTCAATCTTTTATCTACCTGTTCCTCAGACTTGATAATTTCCATTTTCCTATCTTCAGGATTGCTGGTTCTTTCTTTTGGCTGCTCAACTCTACCTTTAAACCCCTCTGCTGAATTTTTTATTTCAGATTTTGTACTTTTCAATGCCACAGTTTATTTTTGGTTTCTTTCTTAGGCTTTCCATCTCTTTCTTGAAATTTCTATTTTGTTCATACATGACTTTCTTGATTTTATCCACATCTTTCTTGAGCAATTTTAGGAGAGTTGTTTCACAGTCTTTGTCTAGTAGATCTGCTGTCATATCTACTAGATCAGGGACTGCTTTTGTTGATTGATTGATTTTTTCCCTTGAATGTGCCATATTTTCCTGTTTCTTTCTGTAGGGTCCAGCCCTACAGGGTCCAGTGAGTCCCTCTCTGCTAGTGTGGAGACAAGAAACTGTGGAAGTAAAAGACACAAGACACAGAGATAGAGAAAGAGAGTTTGGGCCTGGGAGTCCACTGCCAACCAAAGCACAGAGTCCAGCAGTGTCCCTGAGTGCCTGGACACTCTGACTTTTATTGAGTACAAAGCAGGGGGAAGGGTAGGTAGGATGAGGTAATGTTGGTCAGTGATAGGGTCAGGTAAATCACGTGTCTTGGAGACAGGGACCCAAGACTTTGAAGAAGCCGAGGCGAGGAGAAAACCTAAGGCGTCAGCACTTTTTTCATACTTGTCAAGAAATAACAAGGTCACTCAGATTTATGTTACTATTACTAATTCTTATCTTTTAAGAAAAAGAGGAACCAGATGCCAAAGCAGAACTTGAAAGTAGACATGGAATGTGACCACTGAAGCACAGCACCACATAGAGACAATTAAGTTCCCAGATGTCTGTGGGTCTCCCTGACAGCCATCAGGTTACCACAAGAGCTTGGAAGAGCAGAGTTTTCTCCTCACTCCCCCGAGGAAAGAGATGTCTCAGCCATCTTGAACATCTCCTTACCTAGCTGACTAAACGGCGGGCGTTTTCACAGCACTGACACTGTCGCACAGCTGAGATGTCCTCCAGCAGCCCTTATGCAGGCGCGACAGAGGACTTAGAGCATCTTGCCTTAGGGTCACCTCTTTTCCAATGCCACTTCAGTCCCGTACTTCTTGACCTGAGACTTATTTTAAAGATTATATGATTATATGTATATATGTATATACCTATGATTACATATGATTATGTAATTATTTATTATTTATTTATAGGAATAACTATGTTACTATATCTCTAATTCTTTTCTAATTCTATGTTTATATGAGAACATGCTGAGGCTTCAGACCCTTGCCTCGGCTCTTGTGGGGTTTCCCCTCCACATCTTTCTATGCCTTGTGATTTTTTGTTGAAAATTAGACATTTGAATCTAACAATGTGAGAACTTTGGAAATCAGATTCTTCCCCCTCCTTGGTGTTTGCTGCTTTTTGTTATTGTTTTTATTTATTGTGATTCTTTTTTTTTCTTTTTTTTATTGCATTTTAGGTTTTGGGGTACATGTGAAGAACAAGCAAGATTGTTGCATAGGTACACACATGGCAGTGTGGTTTTCTGCCTTCCGTCCCCTCATCTGTATCTGTCATTTCTCCCCATGCTATCTCTTCCCACCTCCCCACCCCCCGTTCCTCCCCCATTTCCCCCCAACGGTCCCCAGTGTGTAGTGCTCCCTTCCCTGTGTCCATGTGTTCTCATCATCACTGGTCATTAGAGAAATGCATATCAAAACCACATTGAGATACCATCTCATACCAGTTAGAATGGCGATCATTAAAAAATCTGCAAACAACAGATGCTGGAGAGGATGTGGAGAAATAGGAACATTTTTACACTGTTGGTGGGAATGTAAATTAATTCAACCATTGTGGAAGACAGTGTGATTCTTTTTATTGCTGTAGGTTGTCTCCTTGCCAAAGATTAGCCTGGGATGTAAACTTAAGATCTTCTCAGGTGTTTTCTAAGCCTGCAGCTTTCCCTGTGCATGTGCAGTCACTTTCTAATTTCCTCTATATATGCACTTGTTTTTGAATGTCCTAGTCTTTAATCTCTGGCTTCCAAAAGGGGAAAGGGGAAAAACGAAGGAAGGCAAAGGAAAAGTGGTTCTAACCCTTTACATCTTGGGAAGTTGCTTCAGCCAGATGAGGACTTGCAACAGTGGAGAGAGGGACAACAAAAGGCCACCCACATCTTTGTCTTCAAGTCTGTGATCAGGAGGTGCAATCAGCTATCTGAGGACATATCTGCAATATTGGGAGGGCAAGTTCCCTTTTGCTCACCCCTGCTTCTGTACATTATGTGGAAACTGTTCCATTAACATGGGCACCGTGCTTGCCACAAGGCTGGGGCTGCTGGATGGGTAGCTACTAATGGACAAAGCTGAAATTGACCCAAATTAAACACACTTTACCTTCAAACTTCCCCAGGAAAATTGCAAGTCTTCGGTATATTCCAGAGTTCCAAAATAGCTATTTCAGAGTCTGTCAGTGTAATTGTTGTCTCAGTGGGGAGACTGAATTTTAGTGCTTCCTACTCCACCACCTTCCCAGAATCTTCCTAACCTTAAATTTTAAACATGCACACTAAAAATTATATTTTTTCGAATTATTCAGCAGATCAGTTCTCTTCCTGACAAAAGCCTTACCTGTGTTATCTTCCCTCGGCACTCTATTTCCACAGTTCTCATGTTTGTTGTTTTGAATTTTAGTATAAGCTTGTTATGAGTGCACAGAAAACTTTTTGCCTCCCCTTCTCCATATGTTTCCTTCTCCCCGTCCTTCTTTTTATAAGTGTGAGTACAGACTGAGAGTACAGACTCAGGAGTAAAACTCTCTGGGCACAAATCTTTGCTCCACCAGGTGTGCGACCTTGGGCAAGTTTCTTTACCACTCTGAGCCCGTTTCTTCATGTTTATAAAGAGCGATAAGTTTCTGTTTTAGGGTCATGATGGGTATTATATTATTTAGTATACGTAATGTGCTTAAAGTAGTACCTGACACAAAGTAAGTTCTCAATAAGTATGGTTTTTTTTACTCCTTCCTTGTTTGCTTAACTATCAATGCATGTTGAGATTTTTAAACCACTTTTAATTACTATTTACTTGCTGTTATTTCTTGACTTCCATTCTTTCCTTGCGAGTTTCTCGTTCTTATTTGTAACATACATTTTTTTTCAGTAATTCTGTCACCAAGAGTTAATGAATAGTAAAATGTTCAAGTTCTTCTGTGTTCCATTTATTCGTAAGTTCTAGGCTCACAGGTTTCTTGTCATGCTTTGAAGACATTAATTGTGACACATATGGCAAATAAGGACTGAATATCCATCCCAATCTCCTAATGTACCTTTCTGGACTTCATAGTCAGAAAAGTCCACATCTATATTTCTCATATTACCCTGTAGTTGGAGGTTCTGAATATGAATGATATCCCACCAGTTAGGTACTCTTGGGTGACCTTGAAATGATAAATAGGAAGCAGCAGCCACCTTCCTGCGCCTTTGGGTCTTTCTGCTTGTGAATACAGTCATGTAGACTTTATATTTTCCTGCTGCAGTGTTCCTTTGTGTAGTCACTAGCTTCATGGTGTCAAAAGGTGGTTGTGATATGACAGCAGCTTTCTGATCTCTGAATCACAGCTACAGGGATGTGTTCTTGAAGTTAACAGTTTCAGGGTTGGGCTCCCAATTTCCTACTATCTGAATTGAGTACTAGTGTTACCTACTTTGGTGAGCCAGTTCTGTTGTGGTATCCTGGGAGCGTTTTTTAGAAGTCCAACCTACATTCCTCTCTTTCAGCCTTTGAAATAATTTCGTAAGCACCTGGTCCATGGTTGAATTGAACTCCTGTTTAAAATAGCTACAGTGATTTCTGTTTCCTGCAACTGAACCCTTACTGATGCATCGTCTTCTGGCACCCATTGTTGTGGATATTTGGTGTCAATCCAGTTGTTTTTCTTTTTATGGGTAATTTGTCTTTCCTCTCTAGTGACTTTTAGGATGTTTCCTTTGTCTTCAGTGTTGTTTAGTTTAACTGGAGGGCCCAGCGGCATATTTTGTGTGTGTACATATCCTACTCACCATTTGAGGTTTTCTTGTTTTTTTGCCATATTGGTACAAATCCAGATCCTGCACTGAGCACAGTGCAGAATCAGGAATCGAGAGTCTTTCATTGAGAGGGATTGAGATGTTTCACTTTGTTTCAATCCAT